GGAGTATATCCCCCTTTGTCTCTGGAAATTATTATTTTTCTGATCTTATTTTTATTTAATTTGTTATTAATATAGCCACTTCATTTCCTTCCTCCCCATGCCCTCAAGACAGGGTTTCTCTGTGTAGCCATGGTTGTCCTGGAACTCACTCTGTAGACCAGGTTGGTCTGGAACTCACAGAGATCTGACTGCCTCTGCCTCCCAGGTGCTGGGATTAAAGGCATGCGCCACCACTGCTCAGTTTCCACTTTCTGTTATCAATGTCTAAATATAATTTTCTCAATTACTCCAGTTTCGGTCTCCCTATATTGTTATATCTGAAGTTTCTTGTAAATGCCTTGTAGCTGAGATATATTTCTGAATTCTCTCTGCTTATCTCTATCTTTTGATTAAGTTTTCTATTACATCTTATTGACATATAAAGCCCAAGTCTATCATGTGCCCCCCACAAGAAATTCTACCATTATGCCAGTTCTCTGAAAAGCCTTTATTTTGAAATATTGTCTCCCCTAAATTATCCGAATTGACTGTGATCCTCTTGTGTCAGCCTCCCAAGAAGCTGGGATTATAGGAATGCATGACCACACCCAACTTTCCTGCTTCCTTTTGATTTAAACATTTGTTAGACTTAAATTTGATTTATATATTGTTTCTGGTGTCTCTTTATAAAATCTTTCAAGTACAGAACAAGGCATTATACCATACATGCATTATCTACCTACTAGGGCCTTTGTTTTACCAAACCTAGTAAAGTTTAGAGACCTTACTTTCTGTACTGTCCCTTCATTACCTATAGGTTAAGAGATTTCCCTTTTTTCTACATTGATAACTACACTGAGCAGGCAGGGTTGCTTCAACCATCAGACACACTTTATAACACTCAACAGTGTGTCACATTCAGCTTTATTTTTTACTATGTTTTTCTTTCATTACAATGCTCTGAGATAGTTTTTCTTTTATCGTTTCATTTCCTATAGACATTCTTCTATGGTAGATCTGCAGTTGATAAACTTACTTATCTGACAATGCCTTGATTTTTCTTTCATTCCTAAAAGTCATTTGTGGTAGGCAAAGGATTCCACGTTATTCAGTTCTTGAAAAACGTGCCACTTTCTCCTGGCTCCCAAGAGTTCTTTTGAAAAAAATCCTATGTATATGAGTGTGCTGCCTACATGTACACATGTGGACCACACGTATGCAAAACTCACAGAGGCCAGATAAGGGAGTGGGAACCCCCTGGAACTGGAGTCACAGATGATTGTGAGCTGCCACATAAACAACAGGAACTGAACCCTACTCCTCTGCAAGAGCAGCAAGTGGTCAGAACCTTGGAGGGTTTCTGATGAGAAATCTGCCTCTGAACTGCTGTGTCCCATACTCCAAACACCCTGCGTGTTGTCTCTTATTGCTTTAAAGTTTTCTTTTACTTTCAAGACATTTGACCATTCAGAGCTTTCTTTGCTATGGAATTATTTGGTGTTATTCTGTTTGGGTCGGCTTGGCTTGATTCTGTATGTTCCTGGCCCCTACCCTCATAATGTGTGAAGTTCTTAGTCATTTGTTTGTTTGTTTGTTTTGAGTATCTTTTCAGAGACACATTCTTTCCCTTCTTCTTTTAGGACTAATGATACACGACTACTTTTGTTACAGTCCCACATGTCTATTTGGTACCCCCAGCCTGTTCTTTTCCGACAGTTTTGAAGCCTCTTTAGAACTTATTTTTTGGGATGTCAGGGTTTAATGCATGTGAAGCGAATGCTATATGCCACTAAGCTACATCCCTAGTCTATCTCTGCAGTTTAAACTGGATACTTTATATTGTTTTAAAAAGATTTGTTTCTATGTTATGTATAGGTGCTTTGCCTACTTGTAAGCCTATATGCAGCATGCATGCACTATGTACAAAGGCCAGAAGACGGTAGCACATTCTCTGGAACTGAAGTTAAAAGAAGGTTGTTAGCTGCTACATGGATGCTGGGGATTGAATACAAGCCTTCTAGAAGAGCAGCCAGTTCTTGTCATCCCTGAGTCACCTACCCAGCACGAGCTTCTGTTGTTTAATCATACCATCGCTATTTCTTTTCTCAATCACACCCCGATCAGACTTACTAATTCCAGTTACTATCCTCTTAGATTCTAAAACTTTTTTTTTTAACAGTTTTTGGTGGTCATATCTCAGGTTTACTTATGTAAACAGCATGTACCCTGGCTTCATGCAGGTAGCAGTCCTGGGGTGACACCAGTCCTCTATCCACTTACAGAGTCTTCATGTGACTAAACCTGAGCAGGAACTAAGAATGCTGGTAATTCATGCTTCTCAGGTGTGAGTGGGTAATGCAGGCATGCTGACTGAGCTTATGACTGATACCCTGTTGAGTCTAAGAGCTTTAGCACTCACGTGGGCTTTATGAGACACACATCTTCTGACTTTGTTAGCCTGTACCTCTTCCTTACACTCTTGGCATATGCACATTCCTCAGGAACTCAGGGTCCAACTCTTTAAAGACAGCTAAATTTTTATGACTGGGGTTCATTTATGCTACTGTAATATGTGTGCAATGCTTCTTGAACTTGGCTACACCTGCTGCATAACCTGCTTCTTCTGATTCTTTTGCTAAAACTTTAAGACATTCCACCTCATTAATTCTATCTTTCCCATCTCAGTGGTCTTTTGCTTTTGTTTCAGGCAGGGTGTTACTTTGTATCCTATGCTAGCTTGGCACTCACTCACCAATTCATGCTGCCCAGCACTGCAATTATAGGTGTAAGCCACCACACCCAACTTCTCTTGCTCATCTAGCGTAAGACCTCCTTGGTCTGAGTATACAGAGAACCTTCTACTAGAACCTAGGCATTTGAGGACTATGTTGTGAGACTCGGGACTGCATTTAGGCTTCTACTTTGGTGGGCTTCCTCTGACACTGCTCTAAGTGAGAAATGGTGGTACCATTGCTTCACTGCTAAGTAATGCTAGGAAAATCTCAGTCTAGTGCTGGTGGATATGGCACCTCTTTTTTTCTGTAACATAAATATCTGGGTAGTGAATTTTTTGCACCGCCCCCAAGATCTATTTACTTATGTACTTTATGTATATGGTGTTTTGATGCATGTACAACTGCACACCAGAATAGGCATCAGATCCCATGGGACTACAATTACAGATGGTTGTGACCTGCCATGTAGGTCCTGGGAATTGAATTCAGGACTCTAGAAGAGCAGGCAGTGCTGCTCCATCTCTCTGGTCTCCTTGTTTGTTGTTGAAATAGGGACTCACTAGGTAGCAGACTGGCCTGAAGACCTGGTATTACAAGTGAGTGTCACCACTGACTTCTGTCCCTCCCTCTCCTTTTCTTTCCTAGCAGTACTGGCCCTGTGCAAATCAGACAAGCACTTTATCATGCGCTAGCCTAGAACAGCACCGTGTGGCCCACAAATCCCCTAAGAACTCTCTTGTTGCATCAAGGTGCCCCTTTCCTGGGACTCTGGCTTCTTTTTCAGTTGCACTTGGCAGCAGGAAAGATTAAGCTAGTCTATCTTCTCAGTAGCTGAAGTTTAGACACCAGGTCAGTCTCAAACTCATGGCAATTCTGAGTCAGCCTCCGAGTGCTGGGATTACAGGCATTAGTCACTATGCCCCACTAGAGTCCACCTTTTTCAGATCACAATATAGTCACCCATCTTAACATACTCCATCATAGTATGCTTAGCTTTTGGAAGGCAAATTAGTTTCATTGTTAAGGAAAATGCCACTTTCTCATAAGTAAGGCAAATTCTTGCTCAGATAGAATTTAAACAATTAGTCTATAAATCATAGATACAGACTTGCAGTGCTGCTCATCTACTCCAGGAGCACAGCATTTATTTGAATACTCAACCAACAAGACAGCAGCAATTTACTACAGTGGACATTGTTTGTTAAGAAAAAAGTACACAAAGGTATTAGAGACAGAATTAGAAGTCTAAACTTTTAGCATAAATCAAAGCCTTGTTATGAGACCTCACAGTGTGATTCTTCACTAATGCAGGTATGCTTCAGATATCTTGAAATCCTTCCCCACCAAAAACTGGCCTTTATGGTTTCAAATACAATACCACCAAGAGAGGAGATGCTCCCTGAAAGGAACAGCTTCAGATATGTGTGTGTACTTCTACTGGAAGACACAGAAAAGGGTGGAAGAGATTTCACACCGCACGGTGTGAAGGGAAGAGTGTATTATCGAGCTGGAAGCATTGCCCCTAACAAGCACTAGTTAGCACCTGGAGGAAACACATTTAGAATCACCACAGGGTATCTCACCAAGTATAAATAAGTGTATCTTACCAAGGAAGACGTCATCATTGAATAAACCAGTGTCACAGAATTACTACAGTTAATTTCTGAATTCAAGGGTTAATCAGAAGAGCACCATTATTAATATTTACTAATGAGATACTATGTTTAAAGTGTTATGCTAGCTGATGCACAAGGCCCTTTCCTTGGCTATACTTAGAACAATGAGCTTTTCCTGGGTCTCTTTCATTTTCATAAGTGTTCACACAGGAGGCAGAACTTCAGCATTACTTCAAGTAAGTTGCTTTCTTAGTCTCAAATTTCCTCTTTTGATAAAATACAGACTATAGTAATTCTGTTCATCTATGTATAGATGTATATCCAAATAATATAGCATAAAAATATGTCTAGAAAACTAACAGTTTAGACTGATTAGATCAATAAAAAATATGAGGTAATATAATTTTCACCCATTAAAGACAGCAGGATTCTCACACAGTGCTCACAGATATTCTGACACATGCAGGCTACAGGGCTTCAGAAGACAATGCAAGAGTCAGACAGAAAATACACGTCAGAAAGAATTTCAAAGAAAACCAATTGTTCTATTTTATTATATTCAACAACTACTAGAAACTTAAACTTACAAAAAAAGGCCAGTCAATACAATGTTGAGGATTATGGAACACAAAGCCTGCAGGCAAATGGATGAGGCCCCTCACTTACTTACCTCTTCTACATTGGAAGCAGTCTTGGCAGAAGTTTCCATGAAGATAAGTCCGTGCTCTCGTGCAAAAGCTTCACCTTCTTCTTTTTTCACTTCTCTCCTGGATTCTAAGTCGCTGAACACAGGAGAGAAGGAGTCAGATTAGTAACTAACCCAGTGCAAAGAGGAATCAGTCAGCAGAAAATGTACCATGGGACTCGACACTGACCGTTTCTTCAACAACTGCATATATACATAATTGGCTGCATTATTCATGATGTTGTGAAGGTCAAAGTGCTTGAAGTACATTGCCTACTTTCAAGTGACTGAATTCCGGCAGAAAAGTATTCCAAGTCGGAGTTCCAGAGTGCTGAGAGCAGGAGTGGGAAGGCAGCTAGAGGAAAGTGCTCCATTTTCAAAGCAGTGGCTACCAGAGCAGAAAGTCACTTGGCTTAAAAAGAGTAAGTTTCAACAAGAAAGGCTAGTCTAACCTCCTCATCCACTAGCCAGAGTTTCTAAGAATGTAATCAAAATATCTGCCATTCAATTTCCCCAGTTTATAGAAAACTTTGTAAAACCCAAAGTGTTAAAGAAATATGAATTAGATTATTTATCTTGGTTTAATTCTCAAAGCAAAATCACTGGGAGATGGGTAGGGACAGAAAGAAATCTAAGCTATGAAGCTGGTGTCTCCTTGCAGTTTTTTTTTTCCATAAAGAACTGGCTTAGTGAAGGAAGGAGTTATTTCTTTAAGCATACTTTATCATAAAAGTTCAAAACCGTTACTAGCACTGTCTATGTAAATGCATGCACATGGTTAGCTGGTTGACCTGCTTTAGTGCCTTTCATTCAGCATAATTATTTTGAGTATATATCAATAGTTCATTCTTCTTTATTAATGAGTTACATTTCTGGTTTTGCTTCCGAGCCACCTCACGGTGACTAGCGTTTTTGTTTGTTTTGCTAAGAGCCTCTGCCACAGTATAGTTAAGAGCTACTGCACTGCTGTAGACCCAGAAAGAGAGCACTGAGCAATCTAATGAAACTTTTTCTCACTTGAATTTGATTTTCAGTTAGGCATTTTCTCATAATAAGAGTAACAGATGACTAAAGTACTAATGTGATTATAGGAGCCTTGTTATAATCCTTGCTGGGCATGGCATTGCATACCTACAGCCCACATTAGGGAAACTGGCAGAGGCTCACTGAAGTTCAAGGATAGCATGTTGTCTACAGAGTAAGTTCTAGCCCAACTATAGAGACTTTGTGAAAAAACAAAACAAAAACAAACAACCAGACAACACCCCATTCAACAATACATAACAACAAAAATCTTAAAATCTCTACTAGTAAGACCAGTAGATCTTCCATTTTGTTCCCTATTTCAAAGTTGCTATGGTTAGATTACATTTTCACATAAAAAAAAATTCTAAAACAGATTGTAACTAAACCGTTTAAAAATCATAAAATTTTGGTTGGGGTTAGAATAACTTTTAAGACAAATCTTGAAGAAACTACTATCTTTCATAAGCATGGTGGCTCATCCTTGTATTCCCAGCATTTGCAGGGTGGAGAGAGGAGAATAAGAGTCATTCTTGGCCACAGAGTGAGTTTGAAGCCTTCCTGAGTCTGGTGGTTTGAAAGAAAATGCCCCCCAAAGGGAGTGGTACTATTAAAGAGATGTGGGTTTTGTTGGTTTTGTTAGAGGAAGTGTGTTACTGTGGAAGCGGGCTTTGAGGTCTCATATATGCTTAAGATACTGCCCAGTGTAACCTACCACTTCCTCAGCACCTTCTCCAGCACAATGTCTGCCTGCACACTGCAGCCTTCAAGCAGACATGCTTCCTGCCATAATGATAATGGATTGAACCTCTGAAACCGTAAACTGCTACCTGAATTAAATGTTTTCCTTATAAGAGTTGCTGTGGTCATGGTGTTTCTTCACAACAATAGAAACCCTAATAACTAAAACAGTGAGGTACACAAAACTTGGTCGCAAGACCCGTGAATGTGGCATATGCTCTCCAGTCTGTGCAAAACTGTTACAGGTGGATCTGTAGCAATGTTACAGTTTAATTTCTGATTCTGATAATGTGATCCTTATCTATTTTACTTATTTTCCAAAAAATTAGTTTTTGGAGTCATGCATGATGGTTTGCCCCTGTAATCTTATTACTAGGAAAGTTGAGACAGGAGGATTGCCAGTTACACAGTAAAGATCTTGTTTTCAATCTCTCCAAACAAAACCACTAGCTTTCAATGTCAATGTTTGCCTTTTCTTTCTTATGTTGGTGTTTGTTTTAAAACAGGGTTTCACTGTGTAACCTGGAGTGGTACAGGCCAGTGATCCTACTGCTTCAGCCTTCTGCAGACTGGGACTGTAGGCACACACCGCCACATTCACCCAGGTTCTCACTTTGATAAAAAGATATGATTTCCCCCTAATATATATATTCAGTGTAATAATCTCCCTCTATTATTATCATATTTCACATTTTTCAAAGACTGCAAAGACAGAGGTTTATTTGTGGAAATGGATAATGCCACAATAGTTGCAATGTTGGAGGTGTAAATTACAATTATCAGCCCGTGAATAGTCTTCAATGTTCATCTGTCTGTAAATTCATCTGGTGGCATTCCTTATTGGACTAGCGTGGTACTCTGAGTTCTCTTTTGGACTGGACATATATCTAACTGGTTTCTTCACTAATTAATGAAATAAAAGCTTTAACAAGCTTGTTATTAAATGAGTTAATTTTTTACTTTTCTAAATATACTATCTGCTTCCAGTATATATTTCGAAACAAAAATAAACTGCAGATTCTTACCTTTTCCCCCTCCTCCAAATCCAATCCTCTAGGTCTCATCCCTAGCTCTGCAGCAGACCACCTGCCGAGGCCACCTACCCCCTTTACCCCAATCTCCAGTGGATCACACAGATCTCCCTCAAAAGCACCCTCCCCTCATGCACTGCTTTATTGCAGCCCCCAACTCCAGGAGGCATCCTGGGAAGGCACAGTCCTCCAGCGAGGGAAACCTGCAGCTCTTCACCCCTCCCTCTACCCTCAGACTCCAGTCCCAGGTCGGCAGCAGACCATCTGCTGTAGCCTTTCCTCCGTTCAGCTCCACTCCCAAGGAATGGTGGAACGCCCTACTTTCCTCTCTCCTGTGGACCCTCCAGTCCTCCACTAGCCTATCCCCATTCCTACGTGTCAGGTCACAATCCCTAGAAAGACACTTTACTTAGAACCTACAGCAGCCACATCTAGCAGGACCCCATAGGAATGGCAACACACAGCCATCACACTTTCCTAAGAACCAGAGAGGGAAACAGAAACCAAGTAACAAAATAAACAAAGACAAGACCAGATATCAGCACCTATGATTATAGTCTTATCAAACCAGTCACACAGACCCTAGCATAAAAATAGCCACGCCAGCATGTGACCACAGGAGCTCAGCAACTCTACTACAGCAGACCTTGAACATTCCAACATATCTGAAATAGACACAAAAGACCTTTAAAAAGTTTTTATGAATATAATAGAGGTCCTTAAAGAAGAAATGGATAAATCTCTTAAAAAAAATCTATGAACACACAAACAGTTGGAGTAAATAAATAAAACTGTTCAAGACATGAACATCAAAATAGAACCAATAAAGAAAACCCAAACTGAGGGAATTCTGGAAATTAAAAATGTAGGAACTCAAACAGGAATCTCAGGGACAAATCTCCCCAGCAGAATGCAAGATAGTCTCAGACAATGAAGACACGACAGAAAAATTTAAATCTAAAAAAACTCCTAGGAACGAAACTTCCAGGAAATCTGGGACACAATAGAAAGAAACCAAATCTGAAAATAATAGGAATGGAGGAAGGAAAAGACTTATAGGTCAAAGGCACAGAAAAGAATTTCAGCAAAATGATAGAATAAAATTTTCCCTAACCTAAAGAAGGACATGCCTATAAAAGTAAAACATACAGAACACCAAATAGGAAAGAAAGTATCCTTGGCACATAATAATAAAAGTATCATATGTACAAAACAAAGAAAGAACATTAAAAGTTTCAAGGGAAAAAGACCAAGTAATATATCAAGGCAGACCTAATAGAATTAAACTTGACTTCTCAATCTCAATGAAGAATGTAAAAGCCAGAAGGTCTCTAACAACTTTACGAGATCCCAATGCCAGCCCATACTTTCATTCACTCAGCAACACTTTCATTCACAATAGATGGAGAAAATATACATTCCATGATAAAACTAAAGTTAAGCATTATCTGTCTACAAATCCAGCCCTACAGAAGGTGCTAGAAGAAAAACTCCAACTTAAAGATGTTAACCACACCTAAGAAAACACAAGGAAGAAAGATTCTGAGACCAGCAAATCAAATGAGGGGAAACTCACTTCTCTTTGTGTCTCTGTCTGTCTCTCAACATCAATGGTGTCAATTCCCAAATAAAGAGACACAGACTAACAGAAGAGATGCAAAAACAGGATCCATCCTGTTGCTGCATCCAAGAAACACACCTTAATATCAAAGATAGATAGCACCTCAGGGTGAAAGGATGGAAAAAGAGACTCCAAGCAAATGGACCTAAGAAGGGAGCTCATGTAGCCATTTTAATATCTGATAAAACAGACTTCAAACCAAAACTAATCAGAAGAAATGGGGAAAAATACAATATATCAAAGGAAAAATCTACCAAGAGGACATTGCAATTCTCAGTATCTATGCAACAAACACAAGGGAACCCAAGTTTGTAAAATAAACACTACTACAGCTTAAATCACATAGTCACCCTCACACAGGTAATGGTTAACACCTCACTCCCACCAACAGACAGGCCGGACAAAATTGAACAGAGAAATGTGCTGTGGGAAAATGCTCTTGTATAATACTATAACGATTTGTCACTCATATTGGGATAATAAAACACTGACTGGCCAATAGCCAGGCAAGAAGTATAGGCGAGGCAACCAGATAAAGAGAATTTGGGGAAGAAGAAAGGCAGAGTCCATTGCCAGCAAATCGCAGAGGAAACAAGATAATGCCTCACTGAAAAAAAGGTACCAAGCCACATGGCTAAACATAGACAAGAATTAAGGGTTAGTTACAAGAGCTAGTTAGTAATAAGCCTGAGCAACAGGTCAATCAATTTATAATTAAATATAAGCCTCTGTGTGTTTATTTGAGACTGAATGGTGGCAGGACCAGGCAGGACAGAAACTTCAGTCTACAGAAATGCTAGAGCTAATTGATGTTACAAACCAAATATACCTAACAGGTATTTGTATAACATTTCACCCAAACACAACAGAATACACCTCCTTCTCAGTATCTCACAGAACATTCTTCAAAACTGACCACATATTCCATCACAAAGCAAGTCTCAACAGATAGAATAAAACTGAAACAACACCCTGCATCCCATCTGACCACAGATTAAAGCTGGATATCATCAACAACAGAAACAACACGAAGTTTACAAACTCATGGAAACTGAACAACTCTCTCCTAATTAATAAAATGGGCCAAGACAGAAATAAACACTTAAGTTAAAAAAATAAATACTTCCTAGAACTGAATGAAAATGAATGCACAATATACCCAAATCCATGGGACACAATGAAGGTGATTCTAAGAGGCAAGTTTATAGCACTAAATGCCTACATTAAAAAAAAAAATTAGAGATCTCTTACTAGTAATTTAATAGCACATCTGAAAGTGCTAGAACACACACATACACAAACAAATGGAACCATACCCTAAAGGAGTAGATGGCAAGAAATAAACTCAGACTAGAATCAATACAATACAAATAATAACGGCAAATAAATCAATAAAGAAATCAATGAAATAAGATTTGATTTTTTGAGAAAATCATTGAGAAACCCTTATATAAATTAACTAAAAGAAGATTACCCAAATTAACATAATTAGAAATGAAAGGGGTGCTATAACAATACATACTGGGGAATCTAGGATCGTTAAAGACATACTTTAAAAACTTGTACTCCATAAAATTAGAAAATCTAAAAAACAAATGGACAATTTTCTCAATATTTACCAAAGTTAAATTAAGATCAGATAAGCAATTTAAAGAGACTTATAACCCCTAGTAAAATAGAAGCAGTCATTAAAAGTCTCCCAAACAAACAAACAAACAAAAACCCAGGGCCAGATAGATGGTTTTAGAATTGAATTCTCCCAGAATTTCAAGGAAGAGTTAATAGTAATAATCCTCAAATTATTCAACAAAGTAGAAACAGAAGGAACATTGCCCAATTTGTTTTATGAGGTCACAGTTACCTTGATATTCAACCACATAAAGACATTAACAAATTAAAGGCTAATTTCCCTTATGAACATAGATGCAAAAACTTTTAAAACACTAGCAAACCAAATCCAAGAACACCTCAAAAAGATCATCTAGCATGATCATGTAGGTTTCACCCTAGAGATGGAGGGGTGGTTCAACATATGTAAATCGATAAATGTAATCCACCACATAAACAAACAGAAAGACAAAAACCATGTGGTCATCTCGTTAGATACAGAAAAAGATGACAGAATCCAACACCCCATCATGATAAAAGTTATGGAGAGGTTACGGATATAAGGGATACATATACTTCAACCATAAGAGGTGATTTACAACAAGCCCATGCCAATACCAACTTAAAGTCAAGAGAAATTCAAAGTTCCACTAAAACCAGAAACAAGAAAAGGCTGCCCACTCTTCCCATACCTGTTCCATATAGTATTTGAAGTCTTAGTGCAATAAGACAACTGAAGAAGATCAGGGGATAGAAATGGGAAAGGAAGAAGTCAAAATAGCTTTACTGGTAGATAAGACAACACATATAAGTGACTGTCTGAGGGTTTCAATTGCTGTGAAGAAACACCATGACCACAGCAACTTTTATTAAAAAAAAAAATTAATTTCAGTGGTTTATAGTTTCACAGGTTTAGTCCGTTATCATTATGGAGGGAAGCATGGCGGCATGCAGGCAGACATGGTGCAGGAGCTGAGAGTTCTACATCTTGGTCCACAAGCAGCAGAAGTGAACTGTGATACACTGGAAATAGCTTGAGCACAGGAGACCTTAAAGCCCACCCTCACAGTGACACACTTCCTCTAATAAGTGCTACTACCTTTGGGGCTATCTTCTTTTAAACCACTACAATGAATAAAAATTCTACCGGGGAACTCCAACAATTAATAAATACTTTCAGTAAAGTAGCTGGAGACAAAATTAACTCAGAAAAACCAGTAGCCCTCCTATATACAAATGTCAAACAGAGAGAGAAATCAGGGAAATAGTACCACCTTTCATAATAGCATCAAGTAATATAAAAAGTATCTTGGGGTAACTCTAAACAAGCAAGTGAAAGACTCATAATACTACTAGCGCTTTAGGACTTAAGAAATACACCTAACTAATCTACTAATTACTGTATTAACAGATATGATGACTGTTATTAAAACAAATATTTTTCTGAATTCTGTACAGATACTTATTTCTATTTTTTAACTATTTTAAATGAATGGGATAATACAACTATGAACATGTTATTTTTCAAGTGTTTTGAAAACAGGGTCACGCTGTGGAATGATTACTGCTTCAGTCTCTCAGATTACTGCTATGAGCCATCACACCCAGCCTAGTTTGGATACCTTAATAGCTACTTGTCCTCCCAACAAATCACTGGGTTTTATTTTATTTTTTGAGGTAGAGTCTCACTAAGCAGACCAGGCTGGACTATACAGAATTCAGAGATATGCCTACCTTTGTTGAGTGCAAGAATTTAGGAAACTTTTTTAAAAAGTGTACCTTTGAATAAATTATATCTTAAATAATAATAAAAACAACTGCAATAATAGTAAATTTTGAGACTGGAGAGATGGCTCAGAGGTTCAGAACAATTGTCGGCTCTTCAGAGGTCTTGGACTCAATTCCCAGCAGGAACATAGTAGCTCACAGCCACCAGTTCTAGGGGACTGATGCTTCCCCTGACCACCTTGGGCAGACACATGGTGCATGTAAACACATTCAGGCGAAACACCCATACATATAAAATAAATTAACTACTAAATAGCTAAACATAATGGTAATATCTAAAGAAGTATCTTAGGATATAAATGAAACTTGAAACTTACGAAGCTAGTACCTTGTTGTGCAGACAAATGTACAAGAGAAGCAGTCACAACTGTAAGCACGATGTTCACCATGAATGCAAGTTAAGCTCTAGTCAGTTCTTTTACCTTTTATTTCCAATAAGCATGATGACCATATTGGAATTGGAATGCTGACGGGCATCTTCTAACCAGGTTGTCAAGTGGTTGAACGTGTCTCTCCTAAACATAAAGAATGGTATGTGATTTCAGTTTTCAGTATTTCTCTTCAAAGAGAACAATGTACAGCCTACACACCCCCAACATCAGTCATGTTAGCCATAGCCACTTACACTATGAGAACCATACTTAATGCAGGAAATTTGGGTTTAGAGCTCACTGATTACATTTCAATTAGGACAAACACAACTGTTAGTATAGTTTAGAAAGTTTCAGTGACTATGTAATACTACCAAGTTTGTCAATCTGGGGGATTATTTAAATAGAGCTGCAGACTTTGAGAATAAATTTAAATTTGATTCAAGATAGATTTTAAGGGCGAGTAGCTAGAGCATAAAGGTAATATACCATTGTTACTGGTAACCACACTTATTTAAAGTACTCTCCTTGTACCGAGATGAAAACGTGACAATACTCACCTTGTAATATCATACACTAGTAAAGCCCCTGCTGCACCTCTGTAATATGACCTTGTGATAGAACGAAAGGACTCCTGCCCTGCCTGTGAAGAAACAAAAGGTTGAGAAGTTTCCTTAAAACAAATATCCTTTACATTTTCATATCACACCTACATTGCACACGGAGAAAAGGAGGTCATAAAGAGAGGAGAAAACTTCACCAGTCTTAGGAAAAAGTCACAGAACAGCACCAGTGCCAGCCACCAGGATGCACAGGAGGCCATTCCCACTACCCTTCCACCCCCAAACAAGACCCCTAACCCTTTTTGGCAATCCCTGACAACCCAATTTACTGAATGGCTTCACAATACATGAATCATTATTGGGGCACAGAATGGACTCCTAGCAACTAAGCTCTGAAGACAAATTTGAAAGGAAGCAAATAACCCAGAGCCTCACATTTGAATTCAGTAACCCACTCCCCAGGGCAGCTGTTGACACTAGAATAAATAAAGCCCATTGTAAATAAATGATGAATGCCATCTTTACGCCCACCATCTGCTGGTGGAAAGGTTGTCACAAGGCCAAGGATGCAGATCTGATCAGTTACACCATAAACCGCAGTGGGCTTTCAACAGCTTCAGGATGGAATTCTTTGAGCAATCATTTTATGAAAAACAGAAAAAGGTTCTGAATTGAATTTATATAATTTTTCTTCATACAATCAATTTTCTCTGCATTTGATATACAATGCCTGTCAAGAGGCAACCGGATGTAAAAGTCATCTTTATATCCTGTGAAACAGGCACAAGAGATTATGTCAAATTCAATAATTTTTTATCTTGTGGTATTAACATTCTACTAAGAAAGGCTGGGGAAGGCTATGAGTATAGCAGTAATTTTGTACTTAAAATATATTAACTTGAAAAATATTCAGAGTTTCCATGTTCTTAGTCCTGATTTTCTGATGTAAATATAAAATCTGCCATATTTTGCTTTGTTCTAAAATGCAGTCAGTATGTTCCAGCATCTTCTCTTGTTGACCCTCCAAGAAAATTCTCCTTCTCGAGTATCACCCACTCTTAGGGCCTAGAACTGGGTCTCGGTATTCATGTGGCACTTAGAAAAGTCTGTTGAGTCAAACTGTATGAGCACATGTCTCAGCTACACGCACAAAATGCTTAGTATTCCAGTGCACACAGCAGACACACTTCTCATTCAATGACAATAACCCCAGATCTAAGTTAACAAGTCTTCCCCAGGAGCCAGTTCTAATAGTTAAAAGTTTTATGCTGAATGAGAGGACAAAAGCCATCGCATGAAAAAACAAACAAACAAACAAACAAACAAAAAACAACTTGTACAAACAGCCTGTTCCTTTCACATAGTTTGAGGTTAAAAACAAACAAAACAAAATCTAGTTACAGGGGCTCATGCTGTTATCCCAACACCTGGGAGGTTGAGGTAGGAGGAGGGCTGAGAGTTTAGGCTAGCCCCAGCTACGTAGGAGGGCATGTCTCAAACATAGCAAAAACAAAATAAAACATAACAAAAAGATCCTAGATGGGCTTACAGGTGCATTTACTGAGATGTGTGTTTCAACTCTGTATTTAACAATGAAACTGGGAAATTTCTTCAATTGCTTAGTGTGGGAAAACTAAGTATATCTTTAAAACATTCATTTTATTGTAAATTATGTATACCGTGAAAGAACTGTATGGCAAATAATACAAAAAGGATATGTATTACAATTTCAAAACAAAAGTTGTGTGGCTAGTGACAGCTTAGCAGTGTGAAGACCAGAGTTCACACATACCCAGCACCCACGGCAGAGCTGACAGACTGCCTATAAGCCAAGTTGTCGGTAGGAAAAGACAAGGGGATTCCCAGGGCAAGCTGGCTAGCTAGATTAGACTAATTGCATCCAGCTCCCAGTTCGGTGAGAACCCTGCCTCAGTAAAGAAGCAGAGAGCCGGGGCTGGAGAGATGGCTCAGAGGTTAAGAGCATTGCCTGCTCTTCCAAAGGTCCTGAGTTCAATTCCCAGCAACCACATGGTGGCTCACAACCATCTGTAATGAGGTCTGGTGCCCTCTTCTGGCCTGCAGGCATACAGACAAAATATTGTATACATAATAAATAAATTAAAAAAAAAGAAGCAAAGAGTCATCAACATCAACCCCCCTTGGCATCCTCATGCACACATGTAGGCACATGGATTCTCCAACACAGGCACCCATTCAAGCATGCATACAAAAACTGCAGGCAAATATACATGTAAAAAGTCTCATTTAAAATGGCAGAAAAAAAGCATTCTTGAAAACAATGGTTCTCAACCTGTGGGTCACAACCCCTTTGGGGGCACAAATGAGCCTTTCACAGAGATCCTGCATATCAGATGTTTACATTACGATTCATAACAGTAGCAAATTTACAGTTATAAAGTAGCTTTATTTTGGGGGGTCACCAATACATGAGGAACTATATTAAAGGGTCCCAGCATTGGGAAGGTTGAGAACCACTAGAATGATTTCTTTGGAACATTCTGTGGAATGAATAAAGATAAACATAATGCTAGAAAAATATTATAATAAGCAAAAATGTCAAACCAGCTCAGGCAAGATACAGTTAAAAGGAAATAAAATTAAGCATGACAGCAAACTTCTATAAATTATCTCCATTCCTCTCAAATTGCTTTGCAAACAACGGGTTCCCAACAGTAGTAACTTGTATAATTTGCCATTTCACACTGAAGTCACACAAACATCAAAAACACATCACACTCAAAGACTACCAATCCATCTTTGTACTTTATCATGTTCTAATAAGCAATTCTTATCTCATAAGTTTTTTGGGGTTTTGATACCTGACTCACAACAGAAAAGTCTGAGAAAACTCTGGTATGATCTCTGGAAATGGCACTAGCAGCTGTAAAATACATGTGACCTAAAGTACTTATTATGGCTTCGCCAATTATAAACAAACATACATACATTAATGGCACAAAACTAGCCCAATGGTTAGTTCTCTTGATCATATTAAAGCAAAGTAATCTAGTTTTAAAAAGTAGTTTAACACTTAACGATCTAAATTCTAAGTGAACTAGGAAATACATGTCCTCTTCATAACTAAATAGGCCAGAAGTTTTTTGTAGTAAGGGATTCATGATAGATAAAGCTATAAAAGGGAACGACAATTTTATCGATCGCTAAGTGAACTGCACCACCAAAAAGCAAAACCCAATCACATGGGTTAGACGTGGGGACTACAGAGCAGGAGTTTCAATTAGTTCACAAAGCAGCTGACTTAAAAAACAATCAAACAAACAAAACAGCCAAATATTTAACTATGTAGGGAGGGGCAGAGAGAAATGCAGGGTGAGGTAGGAGCAAAGGGAAAGTCAGCCAGACCTGATACTTGATAAGCTAATTCAAAACTAAAACATAGTTAAAGAGACTGCTTGCCTGGTAAAGGCATTTGTGACACAAGTCTGACATTTGAGTTTGATCCTCAGAATCTACAATAAACAAGACTTGGTGGCTTGTGTCTGCAATCCTAGAACTCCCACAATTGCCTGGAAGTTCACAAGATGGCTAGCCTAGAGTACATAGCAAGTCCCAGGTCAGCCAGGGCTACAGGGTGAGACCTGAAGTTTAAAAGAGGCATTCTGCATGAGTAAATAAAAGTGTCCCTTCAGAAGCCATTCGTTACTAGGCAAAACCCCCAGGGCCAGGGGTGGCCCACCTCCAAAGGAACTGCTGGTCAGAGAAGACCCTAGAAGAAGACAGCTACTGCCACAGCTGTTGGCTACAACATAACTAGATGGCAAAACCATCTATTGATAAAGACGCGACATGCACATGCTTCGACTACAGGACACAGCGAAACTGAGCAGTCTCTACTGGCTGGCCCAGTAGCAGAAGGTGCTATCTATCATCTCCTTCAATGTTTGGGAAAACTGCAGACAATGGGAAGGGAAGACTATCAAGAGCTGGAGGAAGAGGTAGAGTGTTGTGTGTGCCTTCTCTGGATGTGGCACTGCACTCCCGAACTCTTAGCAGCTGTGACTGTCAGCACACGGCTGCAAAGACTGAACCTACTATATAGAGTGGGTGGACTCACAAGGCCCCATCTGTCACTAAGGATATAAATGTAGTCAGTGGTTGTGACGAAGAGAGACAATCTCTTCACGGGTATAGCTACTGGTAAGGTACTCACGCTCCTCTAAACAGATCCTTATTCAGGCTCCTGCCAGCAACCTCAATTAAACTCAGAGTGCTCCCTGCTTCCCTCCCTCACACACATAAATGGAGATACTCAACTACAGGGGAGGGTGAATCCAATAGAGCAAGCCTAATTTCTTGAAGAAAAAAAAAAGAGGGAAAGAAAGAAAAAAAAGACACTATGACTAAGGCAACTCATGTAGAAGGAGTTTATTGGGGTTAGGGTTAGAGCACTAGTTCATGTCCATCACGGCGAGGAGCATGGCAGCAGGCATTCAGGCAGGGCACTGGAGTAGTAGCTGAGAGCTTCCATGTTGAGACAATAACTATGAAGGAAAGAGAAAGAACTAACTGGGAATAACATGGACATTTGAGATGCTAAAGCTTACCGCCAGTGACACACCTTCTCCAACAAGGCCACACCTCCTAATCCTTCCCAAACAGTTCTATCAACTGGGGCAAAGCAATTAAATACAGGAGCCTATGGGGGCCATTCTCAGTCAAGCTACAGTGCTGCTCTGTGGGAAGAGCACAATCATGGATGTTTGTACACAAAGAATTCCACAGCTGCTTCTTTCATGAGAGGATTGATAACCCAAAGAAGCTTGACCCTATGCTCCATTTAAAACTCCCTTATAAACTGGGTGGTGGTGACACACACCTTTAATACCAGTTCTCAGGGCGGGCAGAGGCAGGTGGATCTCTTCGAAGCCAGCCTGGTCTACAGAGTGAGTTCCAGGACAACCAGAGATACAGAGAAACCCTGTTTCGAATGAAAAAGAAAATCAAAAAACAAAACAACCAAACCAAATCAACCAACCAACCAACTAACCAAAGTCACCTTCCTTACAATACTCAAATACTCCCAGAATAGGCTTTCCCATGTGTCTTAGTCTCCCTGTTGACACCAATTCTGTAGTAACCAGGATGCCAACGGTGGCAAATTTAGCTGCCATTCCTCTACTGAGTCCATGAAATAAAACTTTATAAAAGTTTATATGCATTATGATATTGTTAAAAAATTCCTAATAACTCAAAGCTCTTGAGAGTCTGACATCCAGTGGTCCCTTTGTTTTCTTTTTCAATGTCTTACAGCTGGATGTGGTGCTGACGACCTGAAGTCCCAGCTTCAAAGCCTGACACCCAGTGTGGTCTTTTTTCCCATGTTCAATCAATGTCTTACAGCTGAGTGTGGTGGTGAAGGCCTGCAGTCCCGGCTTTTGGAGAAGGGGCTAAGGTAGAAAGAGTTTAAGGCCAATGAGATGTCTCAAAAACACAAGCTGAATGAATGGACCGACACACACACACACACACACACACACACACACACACGCTCTGGCTTACAAAGCCAATTTCTTCCCATTGGTATCATCACCAATATTCTGAATATCCCTGACTTTGTTTCTCTGGTTAATTTTCTTCCTAAAAACCCATTCTTTCCCCTCCACCTATCCATCTACTTTCTGTTTCGTTAGAACAGCAGTTCAAAATGTCCAGGTTTGTACAAAGCTGAGGGAGGGACTGGGACTTATCAACTCCACTCTACACTTCTACACTTCAGTCTTTCTCCTCACGTTCGAAAGCCTGCCCATGTGGTTCCGCCTAACACTGTTGATGAAATGAGCTGGACACAGTAAACAAATGTACTTTTCTTGGTCCCATCAGGACTAACCCACGTTTATTTATAGCAGACACTTGAACGTGTTATTTTGTTTCCAAAGAGCTATCCATTCAAAATGTTATCTTTATAGAGTCAGTGTTACAGTAAAAACTTATCTCTGATTGTTAGCCATTCATCCAACAATGAAACTCTGGCAATGTAAAACAAAAACAAAATTAAAGGAGAAAGCAAGAAGGAAAGAAGGCAGACATGTAAATTTTATAAGGACAAGTTATTTTTAAAATTTGGGAGGACTAGAATGGACATATACTGAATAGCATCCTAACACTCAGTGACTTGAACATGGTGTGTGGAGACAGAACAATTTTTTATTTTGAGTCTCCTATAGCCCAGACTGACTTGCACTCCTATTCTCCTGTTCAGCTTCCTGCACGCTATGATTATAGGTGTAATCCCCAGCACAGCAGGATATTAACTTTTTAAGATCGACAAAACAATGCACAGCCTTTACTTTTCCACAGATCACTCCAGTTTTGAAACTATTCTGGATAAGGAAAAGACAGGGCTCAAACCACTACAAAGACAGCAAGCTATCCAAATAAACAGAGGCACTAAGAACATTTATGACAGGGAAGCCTTGTTTCACTCAGTTAAGTGTGGAAGCACTCTTTTTTCTTATATCATTCACTGAAGATTTTTGCAATTCAAGTATGAAAGAAAGAAAAAATCATAAAATAAGAGGAAAAGACTGACTGGGGAAGTAGCTCAGTGGTGGAGCACTTGCCTAGTATGCACAGGTCCTGAGTGCAGTCAAATAAGAGGCACTGGGGGTGGGAACACACAAAAACACTGAGGTATTAAGATTATCTGTAAGGCAAAACCTAAAGAGACAACATACAGGCTTATGTATGTTTATTAATACATATTAATTTATTATGCATGTGGGTTTATTAATTTATTTATTAATTTAGTTTATTAATTTAGTGTGCATGTGGGTGGGAGAGGGCATGCACTGGCACATGTGGAGGTCAGGGGACAACTTGCAGCAGTAGCTTCTCTCCTTTTACTATGTGGGTGATAGCGATCAAACTTAGGCTGTCCACGGTAGCGAGGACCTCCATCTACTAAGCCGTCTAGCCAGTTCTTCCCCACTTTTTGAGTAGGTCTCATTATGAAGCCCAGGCTGGCCTTGAACTTTTCATTTCCTTGCCGTAAGGTCCCTGGATGCTGCTGGATCATTTTAGCCAGGTGAGTCATTACCACATCTGGCTAAGTTATACATTCAAAAAGAAATTAATGAGCAATTTCAACTTTGGAATTCTTCCTTAATGCTTATTATGTCTCCAAGGCACCAGACTCCCTTGTGAAAACAGAGGGAGCAGACGAGCCCTCTGTCCTGCTGGAGAAAGTGGAAACACAGGGTTTCTTCTATCTTCCTTTCTTCCTGAAGGTATGAGGACATGCTTAGGAAATATAGCAGTAATCAGTCTAGCTCACACTAGACTGCTGAACGATGTGTGTCATTAAAGTTAAGTGTGGAGGCCCACAGATGTGGCTCTGTTCCACCTTGACATAAGTCTGAGAGTTCGAGCCTATTATTGACCTGAATGTACAGACCAGTCGGCTGGACTGACAGTTAAGTAAGCACCCTACTTTGTGCAATACTTTAAAAATGCAGAAGCAAATACTTTCTTTTGGTTGGAGTTCACGCTTTTAAGTCTCTAGGAGGTGTGTGCCATTGTGCCCAGGCTTTCCTAGCAGTTTTGACTTAAAGTTATGTTGCTCAAGAAAATCTAAATCAAAGTGTTGGGCCAGTAACACAACTCAGCTGGTAAGGTGCCTGCCATACCAAGTAAGAGGAATTGAGCTCAGATACCCAGTCCTCATGTACAAAACTGGGTATGGTGCTATGTTTATGACAATGGTACTTTGGGGTAGAGGGAGATATGAACAGTAGAGCCCTAGATCTCATTGGCCAGCCTAGTACAACTAAGAAACTCCAGACTCTGACACACAGAGAAACCAATGTGGACCATGACCAAGAAAAACACCTGACAATGACCTCTGGCATCCCCAAACACACACATGTACATCAACATGTACATATATCATATGCAGCACTAAGGCTCACAGAGGAAAGTCTTAAGAAATAGATAAGTCAGCTCTCCACTAACGAGGGGTGAGAAGGTCTAAGAATGAATGCACAGTCAAAGGGGGAACTCCAAGACAGAGCAGATAGAGCCAGCGCCTATCATCTGAAGGACAGCTGTGGCACACATGGGGAAAAAACAGGAAATCAAAATCCCGTAACCACCTTCAGCAACTCGCTTGGTCTCGGCGATGCAGGCTTAGACTGGGTATTTTCTTTGATTAATTTCTCTTAGCTTCTGCATTGTAAAGTGAGAAACTAAAACTGAGTGAATATAAGAAAACAGACATGGGTATATGATAATTACATCCCCTGTATTTCATAAAGTCTTGTACCAACTCGTGATTTAGTCATTTACTTGCATGAAACTTCAGCTAAACACATGTCACACTTGATGCAGAAGGAGACTAGAGACCCCAGTATGTTGTACTAAGCAGATAGAGAGATTTTCAAAACTTAACACTATATCAATCTTTTCACTAAAAAAGATAGCTGATTATTTTGCTTTGGGAAAGTAAGATTAATATTCACAAGTGCTGTATTGTTTATCCTAATAAATAAACAGCTTATTAATATTATTTTAAGACAAGGATATAGCTCAGTGGTAGGACACTTGCCTAATATACATAAAGTCTTATAACTTTATAAGCAATGAAAGCAAAAAACCCGAGTATTTAGTAAGTTTCCCAATTTCCATTTTAATGTAGCACTAATTATACTGATGCTCCATAAAAGTTAAGTGCTCTGTGGTCCTTTTTAAGTATATAGGGGTCTGGCAACTGGTGCCTTATGGCATCCACTGTAACTCCATTTCATGCATCTAAAACATTTTTAAGAAGGAAAACCAGGTTCCTGAGTATACTGCAAGAGGGATCACAAAGCTGGGCAGTAACCAGACTAGTGTTTGCAGTTTCAAATCATTTATTTGCTTATTCTGAGTTCATATTAGGAAACATTTCAAATTATCAAATGGGGATAGTGATGGAAATAGGATATTAAGTTATGAGACTTCAAGTGATCAGGATGAATCAAACTTAAATTAGTAAATGAAGCTTCCAGGACAAATAAGTACATAATAGTGGTATTTTTATTTTATATCACATTTACTTTTTTAAATTTAGTTCTGTGACTATTTTTCTTAAAACTACAATTTCTGGGGTTGAGAGCAATCGCTGCTCTTATAGAGGACCCTGGGTCGGTTCCCAGTGTCCACATGACAGTTCGGAACTGCCTGTAACTCTACTTGTTCTAGGGCAGCCAATGCCCTGTTCTAGCTCCACGGGTGTATACTGCATGCGTGTGGTGTACATGTACTCATGCAAATTCACAGAGACGCATACACATCAGCAAGCATGTAAAAGCACACTACTATTCAGACCACAAAGGAGTCGCTCAGATTGTCTACCAATCCTCAGTTCTCACAAGCACACCCACATAGCGAAATCACTAAATAACAAGAAAAATCCTATCTAGTCCATTTCATTTCAGGGCTGTAGAAATTCTGCTTCTAATATATTTAACAGTAAACAAGCATGCAAGGTACTTTTACAAATGCTCCACTTACGGTGTCCCAGATCTGAAGTTTTATCTGTTTCCCATCAATCGTTATCATTCGAGCACCAAACTCTACACCTGAATAGAACAGAAAATAATTTGTTAAGGGACTAGTGAAATACTTTACACTCAACTACTAAAACACAAATGTTTGTTCAGGGTATGTGATAAACAAGCTGCTAACCTTGTAAAATATAGAAGCTGAGTCAGAGGTACTCTGTGAACTTCCTAGCACTTAACTGGAGCCACCTGACTCTAGATAGTTCAACATGGGCCAGGAGTGACACTTAGTCTGTATTCCTGGCACTTGCTATGAGTTTGAGGCCATCTAGATTACACAGCACTGTTTAAAAACAAATTACAGGGCTGGATTGGTGGCATGCGCCTTTAATCTCAGCACTTGGAAGACAGAAGCAGGTGGACGTTTGACTTCAACGGCAGATTGGCTTAAGAGTTCTAGGATAGCCAAGGCTATATAGAGAGATCATGTCTCAAAAAAAAAAAAAAAAACATTACAATTACAGTCAGGCACGGTAGCACATACTTGTAATCTCTTGTAATCCTGACACTGGGAGGCTGGAAAATAAGGAGTTCAAGGCCGGCCTCAGCTACGTAGTGAGAGACCTTCCAAACAAAACAAAACAAAACAAAGAAAAGCCCTCTACCATCATCTAGCTGTTACCACGAGGGTGAGATAGAAAGGTGATTTGTCGCCCATGATATACATTCTATTCCTGGGTTGCACACTGTTAACACACAGAAACTTGGTGATACTCATGCTTTTCGGGCTCAGTAATACTGGCACGCTAGAGAAAAGAGACCCAGGAGTTATGATGGACTAGAATAAAAAATGCAAAATTGGAAAATTATGCCACAGAAAATACAATAGTGACTACACATCTGCTCATCTATGCACACATGTATATTCATAGCATATGTACTTTTTCATATCTGTTCTGGCTACAGACATACATAAAACCATCACCCAATGGCACAAAAGCCCTTCAAAGAAGCCAACAGATAAACAAAATTTTTCTATTTACTATGTATGTGTGTATGTGTGTAAATAGACATTTTGTGTGTGTATGCGTGTATGTCACAGAGTGCATGGAAAAGATCAGAGACAACTTCCAAAAGGTATTTCAACCACTTGAGTCCTTGGGATCAAACTCAGGTTGTTAGGCCTGGCAGCTGAGCCTACATTCACAGAAACACTTCATAGTCTACAAAATATACCTATATTCACACAAAAAAATTAAAACTGGCAAGATAATGATTACTTTTTGTTGTTTTGATCCATAAACTTGGTAAATGGTAAGCTGAACTCTTTAGCACACCGAGATGGAAACCATTTGGGACATCTCAGGCGTCTATTCATCTAAGAGAGGTGTATATTTAGACAGGGGGAGGGGGAGAGGGGTCTAATGACAGAGTTCAAGGAAGATCAGGTAAGAACTGAGTATAGTAGTACAAATCTTTAATTCTCTCACTTGGGAAGTGAGACAAGGCCACCCTCAGCTACATATTGGATCTAAGACCATACAGGACTATATGAAATCTTGTCTCAACAAAACCACCACCACTATCAAAGAGGAAGGGAAGAAAATAGGAAGAGAGACAGGTGGAGGAGGGGAAGAAAGGCAGAGACATCAATCACAGTGGATAATTTTTTGTGAAGAATTTTGTTAAAATGAAAAAAATGATTGAAAAGAAAACAGCCATAAATAATAATCACCAAAAAAAAAAAAAAGGAAAAGTTAACAATGCTTGCTGTGAGAAAAGGAGAAAGGCTAAGGAGGGCGGGCGCCTGTGTGTGTGTGGTTAGGATCTCCCAGCTCCTCCACAGCATCTGGAGTAAGCAAGTGAGCAGTTCCTGGGCACAGTGCTCTTAGGTGGGGCTGCTGGGAACCTGTGAAAAAGTGCCTTGACTTGCCCTTTTTTTCTGAATGAAATACAAACCAAGGTAATCAAATGCGAGTGAAAACAGGAAAAGTACTGCATGGTCAAATACAAGAAAATAGGCTGCAGTTTTTCAGATGAATGGAAATAAAGTACGACTGTCAGGAAATACAGAAGCTTCCCCTGTAGCTGGTGTCTAAGAAATTAAAAACGAGACTTGTTAGCATGTTTTTCTCCATCCCTGGCTAATGGTACACATGCAAAAATGGAGCAGATAGTCAGATTTAACCTATGTTTGTTTACAAAAACAAAAGGAAACGAGAGGGGACCAGGAGGATAGGAGGAGGGTAGAGTGCTTATGGGAGTGATATGATTAAGTTAGCCTGGTATGCAGGGAAGTGAACAGATGAAAAGATGATGCAGCCAACGGTTCCAGGTGGCACTGGAAAGATGAGAGAGATGTGCGAAACTGAAATTCTCGAGGGGCTCTAGACTTCAGTGTGAACAAAGTCCTGGCTGTGACTGGGACACGAGGCAGCTGATGTAGAGGATCCAGGTTCACTGTAGCGGAGGAAGAAGGACTGAGAGACTATGACGTGTGCTTGTGCTCATGGCAGACCCAAGCAACCATGTAATCAGTATTTACATCACTGCTTAAGTTTCCATATCACATTGATGATGGTGCTCCAGGCAATCCTCTGGGTTTTCAATATAATTCTGTTATGTATTTACTTTTGGTTGTAAGTCTAGCCTTTAATGGCTGAGCCATCTCTCCAGTTCATTATAAAGCTATTTATAGACAGCTGTTTCGGTTCATCTTAACAATTCTCAGAGATAGAGGATAAACTATATATAAGGATATTGTCCAACTGTGATGGATATTTTGGTTGTCAACTTGACTATATTGGGAATTAACTAAAACCCAAAAATGACTGGGCACATCTATGAGAATTTCTTCTTCTTCTTCTTTTTTTTTTTTTTTTCGAGACAGAGTTTCTCTTTGTAGCTTTGGTGCCTGTCCTGGAACTAGCTCTTGTAAACCAGGCTGGCCTTAAACTCATAGAGATCCATCTGCCTCTGCCTCCCGAGTGCTGGGATTAAAGACATGCGCCACTACTGCTCGGCCCTGTGAGGGATTTTTAATTGGATCATCTGAAGTGGGAAGATCTACTTCTGATCTGGATATTTAAGGTGTAACACACACCTTTAATCCAGATCTTCTGAAGTATGAAGATCCACCTTTAACCTGGACCACATCTTCTGCTGGAAGCCTATTTAAGGACAAAGAAGGAAGCCTTGCTCTTTGTTTCCTTGCTCTTGCCCTCACTAGCAAGCCCATTTCCTTACTGGCATTACAGCCTACTTCTTCAGGATTCCAGCGTATACTTAGGATCAGCTGAGACATCTAGCCTTGTGGAATGAACAACTACTGGATTCTTGGGCCTTCTGTTCATAGCCACCCATCTGATGGATGAGCTGGATCACAGCCTGTAAGTCATTCTAATAACTCCCCTTTATGTATGTATGTGGAGACCCTGACTAATAAACTAACCCAGTCTTTTATTTCCTCTAATTCCCTAATCTTTTATTTCCTTTTTTCTATCATTTAATATTTAACGAAAGAATGATTTTATTTGTGTGTGAAAGTGTGGGTGTATGGGCATATGTAGTATATATGCAGGTGTGCATGCCTGTGTAGGCATGGAGGTTCAAAGACAGTGTCAGGCCCTTCAGAGCTGGAGTTTCAGGTGTCTGTGGGTACTGGGATCAAACTCTGGTCCTCATGACTGTACAGCAAGTACTCTTAATGATGGAACCACTTCTCAAACCCTCCATCATTTAACACTTTCTTGGTTACAGTCCTAGTTACTGTTCTATTGCTGTGAAGAGACAGCATGAGCACAGCACCTCTTATTAAGAAAACATGTGACTGCGGGTGTGCTTACCGTTTCAGAGGGTTAGTCCATGATCATCATAGTGGAAAGCAGATAGGCACAGCTCAGGAGCAGTAGCTGAGAACTTTACATCCTGATCCAAAGGCAGAGAAAGAAAGACTGGGCCTGGTGTGGGCTTTTGAAACCCAAAGACCATCTCCAGGGAAATACCACTCCAACAAGGCCACACCTTCTAGTCCTTCTAATCCTTTTCAAACAGCTCTACTTTCTGATGACTAAGCATTCGAATATATAAGCCTATGGGGACCATTCTTATTCAAACCAGCAAAGTTCAGTCCAAGCTTAAGTAAGTCATTATCGATGCATGAGGCAAAGGCAAGTGCACAACAGAGTGAAGAAGACACGTAGCAAACTCTTAAATCCATTGAATATAGTTTCCCTGAACACAGCAGGCAAAAGTCAAAATGCCCACATTCATCTTCCATAAGATTTATGCTGGCTTTTTAGGGGAATACAACTCTGATCATAAAGTTTTAAAGCATGACTTAAGCCCTCTCCAAGATTAATCTCTCTCTTCTCACAACTTTCAAGTCAGGATGAAACTCTTAGTGGCAGATCAAATACTATGCCTGCCTGTCTGCCACCATGCTCCCAACAATGATGATCATGAACTCACCCTCTGAAACTGTTAAGTCCCCAATTAAATGCTTTACTTTTCTTTCTTATGCTGTTTTGTTTTTGAGAAGGGTCTTACTATGTAGCTCTGGCTGTCCCGGAACTCATTTTGTATACTAGGCTGGTCTTAAACTCACAGAGGTAAATCTGCCTCTGCTTCCCAAAAGCTGGGATTAAAGGTGTGTGCCATTAAACCCCTGTGGTGGTTTGAAAAAAAAAATGGCCCCCAAAGAGAGTGGCACTATTAGGAGGTGTGGCCTTCTTGGAGTAGGTGTGGTCTTGTTGGAAGTATGTCCCTGTGGGGGATCAGCTTTGAGCTTTGGTTTTTCTCAAGCTTCAGTCAGTGTGACAGTCAGTTGACTTCCTACTGCCTGTAAGATGTAGGACATGCAGCTATTTCTCCAGCATCATGCCTGCCTGCTGCCATATTCCCTGCCATGATGATAAAGGACAGAACCTCTGAACTGTAAGTGAGCCACAATTAAATGTTTCCTTTATAAGAGTTGCCATGGTCATGGGGTCTTTTCACAGAAATAGTAACCCTAAGTAAGACAACCCCACTAAATAAATTTTATTTTATGAATTGCTTTAGTCATGGTGTCTCTCCACAGCAATAGAAAAGACAACTAGCTGACATTTAAGGGTTAGGGAATTATGATAGTAATTATGTGACTATGCATCTAAATCTCCACCACCAGAACAGAGTTGGTAAGATGAGCAAGCTGATCCCAGGGTATGGTATGAGCTGACCCACATCTGTAGTTCCAAGTTAATAAGAGCTATTAAGTGGGTCTCCACCAAACTGAGGCAGTGTTTCCCAAAGAATCCGGCTTTACATTTATAAAAATCTTTAATCTTCTGAACAATACAACTTTGGAGCTGTTCATTGTTAACTATTTCTTGCCACAGAGACAGAAAAACAAAAACAAACAAACAGAAAAACCACTGGGAATAGGCAGAGAGAAGCATAAAGTGGGCATGAGGAAAATGGGTGGTGTAGAAGCACAAGTTCCCACCTCCTTAAAAGCTTTATGGCCCTCTTCTGGCCGGCCCCCAGTTTCTGTGGGACACACAAAATACTTAAAACAATAAAGTCTCATTTTGCTTAATCTGTGAGGTGGATTTTGCTGCGTAAGATGAAGTCTGAAAATCCCCAGTACCGACAACTCTACAGCTGAGGTGCCACGGCACACAGAACAACATGAGCTGTTGCTGATGCTCTAGGATGCCCACCAAACTTCAACAGCCAGATCTTATTACTCAAGGCATCAGATACTTTGGTGACAGGGCATGACCTGGAGGCTTCCTTCCTGCTGGCTGGCTCTCACAGTGCCAAAGGTGCTACGAAAGCTGCTCAGGAGAAGTTATTAAAATCTGACCCAGCTGTGATCACTGCAAACTACAAAAATCCACTGGCCTGACAAGATATGCCCATTGACAAAATAGTGTCATAAGTATCTGTGGATAATCAATTGCTTTCTGATTGGACTTAAGGCCCACTCCACAGGAGGAAATTCATGCCTGGTATTGTAAACCTGGCCAAGAACATATGCCAAGGGAAATCATGACAGCTTGACACTATATTCATCTAACAAGACAACAGTAATATGCCCTAAGGGGTCTAGGGCCATGACCTCCCTAGCATTGGGCTTTTGACCAAGTTTACAGTATTAGCTAAGAATTCTCTCCTGTGAAGCAGGCCTCAAATCTAATCCCAAAGTATATAGTTATTGCCAAAACCCTTGTGCCACTGTTGTACATACAGGCACTTCTTCCTGGAGAAAGAACATTAGGACACGCAGGGTTTGCTGCTGGTTAATAACACTGATAGCTTATCTCTCCCACAGGCTTGCATAGCATCTTCCAGCTATGAAAATAACCAACAGGTAAAAAGCTCTCAAATTTGTTCCAATTTGATTTTTTTTTTAATGTCCTGCAACAAAAGTGAGTTGTGTCTTTAGTAGCAGGGGTGGTCATACTATTTGATAAGTATTTTAAAAATCCCTGGTAGTGGGTCCGTTCACTGATGCAATAAAGTCAAATCCAGTCGAATTAATAAACTCAGGTTTTATAAACAGAGTAAAGCAAAACAGAGGGAAACAACTCCCAGTTAACTCTCAGGAAGGCAGGAGAGAGAGAGAGAGAGAGAGAGAGAGAGAGAGCGAGAGCCTAAGGCAGATCTAGTGACCAGGTCTTGAGTAGCTGGTGGGGGGAAGGACACACCCTTGGGGAAGAGCAAGGTCTGGAATGGGAGGACTGGGGGCTGGGCTCCCACCCGAACATCTGAGGGGAGGGGGGCTGGAATGTGGGAGAATGAGGCTGGAGCAGAGCTTCCAATTAAACACTGTTAAGTTTGGGGGGCAACCAAGAACAATGGCAGTACCTCTGGAGCCTCCTTGACCAATACATAACTCACAGGGAGGAATTCTACACCTGATACTAAGATTTTCACTTAATCACCCAGATCTTCTAGAGAAAGCACTGTCTGCCCATGGAGGATACCTGTGCTTAAACTCCTTAAAGTACAGGCAATCAAACAACAACAATAACAACTTTACAAAGCAGTGGGTTTCTAAAAGAGTTTTTCATACAACCTTAGTTTTGGCTGAACTCCTTTTGTTTGTTTGAGACAGGGCTTCCTGTTGTCTAGACTAGACTCAAACTCACTACTAGATGAGGTTGGTTGGCCTTGACTCCTAGATCCTCCTGCATGTACTGTTAACAAAGCACGGATCAGTAAAGTAACAGAATCAATGACTTAAAGGACTGGGTGTGGTAGAACACAACTGTAACCCCAGAATTCAGGAGGTGAAGGCAGAAGGCAAATTCAAGAACCGCCTTGAACTACATCTTGAGATCTGTCTTAAACAAACAATAACAAAACGAACCCAGCTCCAAGATAGAAATAAACAGTCAGTGACTGTTACTAAGCAAAAGAATTATGAGATTTCCAACTACTCTTTTGATATGCAGGATATCTGATATGCAACCCCTGTGAAAGGGTCCTTTGACCACCAAAGAGGTCAGAACCCATTGGCTGAGAACTGCTGCTCTAGATCATCTACCTATCTATCTATCTATTGATAATTTTTTTTAAGAGACATCTTGCTACATAGCCCTGCCTGGCCTGGAACTCACTATAATGACCATGCTAGCTCTGGACTTGTGGTGAACCTCCTGCCTGTTTCTCAAGCCCTGGGTTCACAGGAGCATCATGCCTGGCCATCAATATATTTTTTTCAAACAAACTGTGACTCTCTAAAATTCTTAGTTTTTACTCATTTTAAATTTGCAGTTTTGCATGCTGATAAAAAAGTAGTAATAACACTATGCAAAATAACAATAATTAACACTGGATGTCTACTTGTTACTAGTACCTACCTCATACAACTCATACTCTGCTGACGGTCCTGTTTAATAATTACAGCAAGCATGCTGGATTTGCCACACTGCAGGACACTGTTCCTATGCTTTACACTTACTGTTCATTTCCTGATCACAGTAACTTGGTGGAATTCTTAGTGTTACTCTCACTGTAGGGACAGCAAGGCTGAAAATATGGAGAGGTGAAGCAGTTTGCTCAGTTACTGATAAGACTTGCTTTAATTCCCAATGAGTTCCTACCATGGTGCAGTACTGTCTCTTAACAGTATGATTCATAATTAAATTTAATTAAAATCTTAAGTACTAATGTCTTTTGCATTTTAACCCTGTATGAAAAGTTAGTTAATATCTATTTTTACTATATGTATTTCTAAAATGTAATGGAGACTAAATTTTGTACAACAAATCTAGTTTCACTACTTTTATATAGTGGACCCACTAGTACAGAGCACAAAAGCTATTGAAAACTTTAAATGTTTTATTCTTTTCTAAAACTTACCAATTGTGAGGTCATGCACTGGCTGGAACCTCTTGTCTGTAAACTGTAGCAATAAGCACGATTTACCAACACCTAGAAATTAAAAAATGAACAAAGAATCAGTGGAAAATAAAACCCACAGAAATTAAGACTGACCTTACAAAAGCACAGAGGAGCGGCAGCAAGGGTTTCTGCTGCTGTCATCCAGTCAGTCATTATTTACAGTTCTCCAAGTTTTAAAATAACCCCTTTGCGCTTCCTTATTCATTAGTTTTCCATGCAAAGGAGGCTGGCACATAAACTCCTAGAATAGCAACTAGGTCTTAGCAGTTCCCACCAAAGCACCACCTAGGGAAGCTGGACACATGTATCCTTTCTGTCATTTACAAAATGAGGATTAAATGCATCCATATCACAGGGCAGGGAGAATTAAATCAGCTAAATTATAAAGCACTCAGGACAGAGTAACTTTAGAACTCATTTATTATTCTATTTAACTAAAAAGTCAAAATCCAACAGGTTTTTACAACACTTCACTTCTTCCCTCCAAGCGCCCTCTTAGCCGTGCCACCTGAGTCCTTTCAACACTGCAGCAGTGTCCCTTTCCTTTAAAGGCCGGGCTCAGCCTTTGCCGTAGGTCCCAAGAACTAGCCAGCCCTTTTCAGCTCATGTTCATGCTTCTCTTTGTATCAGATCCTCTTCTTCAGTGGACAAATTTTCAAGAATCTCACATTCAAAACATACTGGTGCCTCTTAAAGAATTTAAAGACCAAGTTCTTTGCAAAAAACGTAGTCTGGTTCAGCAAACTCAGAGCTGCCACATATAGCAGTGAGCTAACCCTCAACCTCAGCTTCGTCTGAGATGACTTCAGAAAAAGGGAAAAGTCTAGAACAACAGGACATTGAGAGACTCTGTGAAAGTCATTAAGTAACATTTATAAAAATACAAATGCAAATAGCAGCTGATCTGGAAACCTGGCTTCATACACAAATGCACAGATTACCAATAAACAACACTGAAGACAATAGTTTTAGTGGCCAGGTGTGGTGACATACATCTTGAATCCCAGTGCTCTGGAGGTAGAGCGAGCAGAGCTCTAAATCTGAGGCCAGCCTGGTCCAAGTAGTGTGATCCAAGGCCACATGGTGAGACCTTGCTTTAAACAAAACAAAACAAAACAAAACAAAAACCGCAAGGCCAGGCCAGGCCAGGCGGTGGTGGTACACACCTTTTATCCCAGCTCTTGGGAGGCAGAGGCAGGTGGTTCTCTGTGAGTTTGAGGCCAGCCTGGTCTACAGAGTGAGTTCTTGGACAGTGAGAGATACACATAGGGAAAGACTGTCTTGGAAAAAAAAAAACACCAAAATAAAACAAACAAACAAACAACATAAACACCAAAAAACTAAAACAAAAACTAGAGGACATTTGTTTTTGGCAACCTGGCATCCTGAGTACCCTTCTGTGATCTCTCTGAAAGCTGAGATGAAACTGACAGAGGCTGTCAATCAGATGTTGCTGCTCAGAACCAGGAATCTAAGTTTTTCACTAAAATCTTGTTTCAACAGAGTTGGTTTCTAGTAGATAACACAGAAGTAGACTACAAGAAGCAGAAACAGATTTATATGGTTGAATTACATAGAAATTAAAAAAATTAAGACTAATATGTGTTACAGAAGGATACTTTAAAAAGTACAATAATAGTAACATTGCATAATTCTGTTGATGAAATTAGGATACAAACATCAGAATACAATTATTTGTTTAAATTTATAACTGATAGCTCATTCTGCTATTTATTTTTGTACTAAATAAAGCAAAGTTTTGAGTAGAAGTGATTGGGGCCATGCACACTTTTACTTCCCCCTTTGAAATGGAAAAAATGATACTTTAATCAAACAGATGGGATAGCTTTTTATTATTGGATTCATTTCTACAAAACAGGCCTGCAGAACTACCAACTTCATTCTTTTAAAAATGAGAAATCCTTCATGCAGTCTCAGGGTTTCTATTGCTCTGATAAAACACCATAAACAAAAGCAACTTGGGGAGGAAAGGGTTTATCTCTTGTAGTCACCATCATCCAGAGAAGTAAGGGCAAGAACTCAAGGTAGGAACCTGGAGACAGAAACCAGCGCAGAAGCTATGGAGGAGAACTGCTTAATTAAGGCTTTGTTCTCTCATGGCTTGCTTTGTCTTCTTTCTTATGGTACCCAGGACCACCAGCCTAGAGGTGGTTCCATACACAATGGGCTGGGCCCGCCCACATCAATCATTAAGAAAATGCACTATAAACTTGCATTTGTTTTTCTCAACTAAGAGCCTTGCTTCCCCAAGTGATGTTTCCTTAAGTTGATATAAAAGTAGCCAGCACATGCAGTAGCATCAGAGAAGTAAACAGAGAAGTTCAGGTAAAAGAAGGTAACTACTGTGTGTCTCTGATTTCCTGAAGACTAGTGAAAACTAGAATATCTTCCCTATTTTGAGTGACTCATGAAGACTTTTTTTTGAAGGGTGGTGCCTGTCCTGGAACTTGCTCTTGTAGACCAGGCTGGCCTCGAACTAACAGAGATCCACCTATCTCTGCCTCCCAAGTGCTGGAATTAAAGGCTGCGAAAAGGTTCAACCACTGCCAGGCTGAAAAGAACCTTTTCAAGTTTACTGAGTACAAAAGATATCAAGACCAAAAAAACTAGTATTTTGGGATTAACATATGATCTTGTTTTCTTAAATTTAAGTGGTTTGAAATCAGCAAAGTAAATAACCTTTTTGAATAGGAAACCCCCCTTCAATTTAATTCTAGGACGCTCAATGAAGAGAACAATTAGCTTTAAGTACCATTATTAGTAAACCACTCTGTCGTTTATAAGGCACCTGTACATAGTTTTACATCAAGCTCAAAAAACAAAACAAAAGAAAAACCAGTAAAGTCAGCTAAGCCTGGCATTACATGAGAAAACAGAAGATGAAGAGGTCATACAGTGGAGACACCATACCAATCAAAATCTTCTAATTATAAATAGAGACTCTTGGAAAATGTTCAAGAGTGAGGTCTAGGTCAAAATAATCAAAGATGGACTTGTGATACCATTTGACTTCTAGATGCATAGCAATTATTGCTAAAAATGGACTAAAACCAAATTCTTCTACAAATTTTATTTAATTAATAGTAATTAATTCAATTTGAGATAAGGTCTTAATATATTCAGGCTTGCCTGGAACTTCCTATACACCACAAGATGACTTCTAACTCTTAATCTTCCTGTATCAGCTTCTTAGATGTTGAAATTACAAGCATATGTCAACATACCAAGCATGAACATACTTATACTAGCATACCAGCAGTAAATAAATGACACACTTAATTGCCACTTGAATACACTGTGAATTTAGAGAAGAAATGGGTGTTTGAACAGCACTTGGCAGACATTATACCAATTTTAGAGAGAACTGAGAAATTTAATGATGTAATTCCACAAGCTGTGGCTCTATCAATGTTCTATAATGCACAGATGACAACACATCTTGGGAAATTTGGCATTCACGTTGCTTCTTACGTGGGATGTGCCTCTATAAAGGCTCAAGACGGGCATGCATGTTTGTCATCTATGTCTTCATCCCTTCCTATCTGACTTAGCCAAATGGAATCTAACAGCAGAAATAAATTCAAATTCTTCAATGATTGCAATATATATGAAAACACTAAATTTTTCAAATTATAGACTCAAAATGAATTTTAAAATATTGCAATAGGTTATATTAAAATTATATAGAGGAATTCATAAATAGTCAAAATGTAAAGAACTGATCATGAAGTAAGTACCCAACCCCAACTGATACATCTACAACATAATCCCTATTGCTAAGGCTCAGGGGTCATCACCAAAGAAGGGAGCAGAACGACTGGTAAGAGCTAGAGACAAAAATATCTGCTGGGAGACACTGTCTTCTATATGTAACAGGAGCTAATCCATAAAATTTCAGCAATCTGTTGCCTAAACAAGATAATACTGCCAGCTGAAATGCAAATGAAGATGGGAACATTCTCACAAGACTCATTTACCCTTAAGATGAAGGAAACTAATGGTGAGAGAGAGAGAGAGAGAGAGAGAGAGAGAGAGAGAGAGAGAAAGTCTTCCCCAAGGACAAGACTAATTGGTACCTAACATCAAGTGCTCAGCTCTAAATACATACATAGGAGCAAATGGATCCTAAATGGATCCAGCAGGTTGTACATATATTTATGTATGCATATAATATGTAATGAAAGTAATTAAATATAAAGTCTGAATCTGAAAGGGAGTTGGGGCACAGAAGGAATTAGAGAGGAGAGGAGGGGGTGGAAATGATATATGTTAATACTGAACTCATATATTCATAAATTTTACTTAAATTATATGTGTACACACACACACATTCTATTTTTAAAAGATATGCTTTGACATGTGACCCTGACTTGAAGCTATACTACAGAGCTATAATAATAAAAAGAGCTTGGTATTGGCATAAAAACAGATATGTGGATCAATGGAATCAAATCAGAGACCTTGACAATCCACACACCCATAAATACCTGATTTTTGACAAAGAAGCCAAAATTATACAATGGAAAAAAGAAATCATCTTCAACAAATAGTGCTGGTATAACTGGATGTCAACATGCAGAAGAACACATAAATCCATACCTATTACCAAGCAAAAAACTCCAGTCCAAATGGATCAAACATAAATCCAGTTACACTGAACCTGACAGAAGAGTAAGTGGGAAGTAGCCTTGAAAGCACTGACACAGGAGACCACTTCCTAAATAAAACATCAGTAGCACAGATGCTGAGAGCAACAATTAATAAATGGAACCTCCTAAAACTGAGAAGGCAAAGGACACGGTCAACAAGACAAAATGGTTGCCTACAGAATGGGAAAAGATTGCCACTAACCACACATCTGACAGAGGGCTGATCTCCAAAATATATACAGAACTCAAGAAATTAGGCATCAAAAACCAAAGAATCCAATTTAAAAAGTGGGGTACAGATCTAAAGAGAGAATTCTCAGCAGAAGAAACTCAAATGTCCAAGAGACATTTGAGGAAATGCTCAACATCCTTAGCCATCAGGGAAATGCAA